TTCCTATTTCTGGTTTGTTTCCCTCCCATCCATTTTGACAGCCTTCAGAGCAGGTTGCTCTCTTTGGGCACCTCTACTGTGCAGCAGACAAGCCAGGAATGAGCCATTGTTCTGGGTTCAGATGTCATAATAATTAAAGAAACCAGTCAGTAAGCCAACAACAAACCACGATTTCTTTGTAGTTGTAACAGTAAGCAAATCCTAGTTGTTTACAGGGTGGATTCCAGCAGAACAAGGCAGAATTTGACCAATGACACCATATCTTAATATTATGTGTGTGCCAGACCACTGTTGCATTATCATGATGGGACTGGCCATCACAGCTGACTAGCAGAAATTAATGCTTAGTTACCAAATGCAGTAACTACAATAATTTCTAGACCCATGAGATTTTAAATATTTGACTAAAAAATACTCTGAACATTTTGAAATGTCAAACATTTACTCAAAGAGTCCCTTAAGCCATCATTCAGAATTGGGTCATGCCGTTTTTCTGTGGATGCAGCAGAAAGAAACCATGAACAAGGTGAATCATAAATGAACCTTGTGCCCAATTGCCTGATTGCCGATGTCATCACTGATCTATCAAAAACATTTTGATTTTTGGTTGGTGTTTGCGTTTAGGCATCTAATATTTGCACGCAGCGTTGGTGTTTGCGTTTAGGCATCTAATATTTGCACACAGCGTTGGTGTTTGCGTTTAGGCATCTAATATTTGCACGCAGATAGTTGAGCACAGATGGGAGAGACGCCCTGGTGCACCTCCGAGTCTGCTCCTATGACCAAGCTGCATTAGAGCTTGCTGTCCTCACTCCCCAGGTAAGGCTCTCCCTGCAAGTTTTGTTTCTTCTCCTGTCACTGAACAACTGTCAGCAACTAGGAGGCATGGTGAAATAAAAAAATAAATGATTGCACTGCATGCCCCCCAAAAGGCAGCAGCACACAAAGACAGAAAAGCTGCAGAAAAGGGACCAGCAGGCACCTGTGTCTGAAGTGGGGAGGCATTTATGACCACCAAACTTGGATTTGGATGGCTGACTTTAGAGATCAGTTATGAGACTTGAAGCAGCCCATTTCACACTGCTCAAGGTTTTACCAGAAGTGACAAGTGCCGTTTTAGTGTCTATCAATTCATACAAAAGCATCATGGGATGTATCATACTTCTTTATCCTGGGATGAACCAGACTGTATTGGTCAGCTTGACATGATTAATTTTCATTCTGTAAAGGGCATGACTCTGTTGTGAAGCATCAGGAACACTCCCTCGTTTTGTTTTTTTGTGGATTCCTCTGTCAGACATAATACCTCTCCCACCACCACCACCTTTCCGGCTGCTTAATTCTTGATGAATGCCCCCTTTTGCTCAAGGAATTTCCCAAGTTCCTGCTCAAAATACTTGAAAAACTGTCTGGAGAAATTCTATCCATTCTGAAATATTCAATTCAAATGCTAAATGTTCATTACTAGACAGAAGAGGTTGTGTCCCTGTTCCTCTACACGATAACATTTCTGCCTTTGCTCATTCTAACTTTCTATAAGCCGCAGCTATGGCAAATTTGTAAGATAGTAACAAATCCCAGATACAACCTTCCTGGCTTACTAAGGCATAGCTGATTAACAATGCAATCCTATATCCACCTCACTGAGTTCAATGGAACCTATTCCTAAGGAGGTGATGGTAACCCAAGCCGGGATCGAGCATCCAAGCATGCATGCTTCTTCCCTTGTAAATCTCCTTTCTTAAGCTATACTTCCGTGAAGGAAATGGCACTGGAAGATGATTGCAAGGAGAGAGCTGATGTGGTCCAAGATGGGCAGCATCTTTTGGGAGAGTTGCCATGCCTTAAACTCTAAACCATTTGTGGGTGTTGCGTTTTTTTCAAAAAGAATGTGTTATTTTGGAATGAGAGAGAATCTGTTACCTTGGAATGTTTAGGATCCCTACAACATGTGAAACCAGCCACTGTCCATTAACCTCAGCTTATGTTAAGGCAGGCACACGATGGCATAACTCCCTTCAAGCTGATAAACGGAGCTTTGGAAACAGCTGTGCTTCCTTATGAGATCATCTTGGCCTTCAGGGGCTGCAGGTGTAGAAGTCCTGAGAGTGTCATAGGCAATGAGCCTCAATTCAGACCTGAACTGTGGAGACACTGCATGCTGGCTGGCTTCTGGGGTCTCTCTCTTGCTAATTTTCTGGGGTTCCCAGTGACAGAAAGAAGGAATGAACAGCTCTGCCCTACAATATTGAATGGTAGCCATTATCCTTTTTAGCCTGCTTTCAACCAATAGTATCATGTGTTCTGTTATTCAGCTTTGTTAATAAACTATATCTATATCCACTTGTATGCCTTTTGTTTCTGGATCCAATTAAAGAACCACTTGCCTCCTGGCAAGAATGTTTCCACCCAGTTCTGGTTAAGCTACAGTTCCAAATTATGGCTCTAATGAGAAAGTGTAATGTTGATTAGCTAACCACAATCTCAATTTTAAGATACTAGTTATTAAACAGGTATTAAACAGACTCCCATTTTGAACATAACAAAGAATTGTAGTTTAAGAGAGCAGGACTGAAACACCAAAGGTGGCAGTGAAAAGAGGAAGAGATGGGACGTAGGAGGAAGCTGTTGGCCTAGTGTCCCACTGAACTGAATGAGACTGTCTTCTCTCTGATTATGATTGGGATTTACAGCTTTACAGAGCAACCTAGTGAAATCACTGAATCCTTGATGATTCACTGTGAAGAATTTGCTTACCACTTTCAGGACAAAGTCACTTGAATCCACTACAATTTGGACTCCACAGTTGATTTAGTCTCATTGAGAGAGATGTTCAGAGTACCATCTTATCCGACTTTGATGGATGAGTTTCAATTACTGTGGCCTGCTGATATGGTCGAGGTACTTGGTTTTGTTCACACCACCACTTGCTTACTTGACCCTTGTTCATTTTGGCTCATTAAGAAATCTAGCAAGGGAATTCACACCTGAGTCCAGGAGGCTGTCAATGCCTTGCTGAGAGAGGGAGTGGTCCCAGCCTCCTTGAAGGAGGCTGTGATAAGGCCACTCCTAAAAAAGCCAAACCTGGGCCCAGAAGCCATGGCCAACTATAGGCCTGTTGCAAACATCCCATTTTTGGGCAAGGTGCTTGAGCAGGTGATGGTCAAGCAGCTCCAGGTACTCTTGCATGAAACAGATTATCCAGATCCATTTCAGTTGGGCTTTAGGCTGGAGTTCTGGATGGAAACTGCCATGGCCACCCTGTAGAATGACTTTTTCCAGGAGAGGGAGAGGCGGAGTGCAACTCTGCTGATTCTCCTGCACATCTCAGTGACTTTCAACACTATCAACCATGGTGTCCTTCTGGACAGGTTGGGTGGGTTAGGAGTTGTGGGCACTGCATTGCAATGGTTTCACTTCTATCTGGTCAATAAAGTCCAGAAGGTGGTGCTGGGAGAAAGTTGCTCTGGTCCATGGCAGTTAAGCTATGGGGTTACTCAGGGCTCTATACGGTCCCCATGCTGTTTAATACATACATGAAACTGCTGGAAGAGGTCATTTGGAGGTGGAGACTCAGGGGTCATCAGTATGGTGAGGACACCCAGCTTTACATCGCATTCTCCTCAAACCCAGGTGAGGTGGTTTCTATCCTGAAACACTGCCTGAGCTTGAGTGGATGACTGGCCCTTGTGAAGGAAGGGCCAGTCAGTCCAGCAAGGAGGTGAAGAGGATGGCGAACAGAAGAGGGGCCAATTCAGTGGCTATACCCTGTCTATAGATTAGCCTCCCAAGAGCATTTCGCCTGGAACCTTCTTTACAATCTTTTTGGCACCAGGCAAAAGCATTATTCATTATTCATTATTCATTATTCTCCAGGCATTTTAACAATTAATTTTACATTTTATAAATTTTAATGGAATTAAATTTTATTGAGTCTCAGAATTTTAACACATATTGTTTTAACTTCTTATGTGACTGTCTAACTCTCAGCTGCATGTTGTCATGAACTGTATATTCTTGTGAGTTATGTCTATTGTTAAGTTTTTGATTATATTATTGGATTATTATTATGATATTATGTGTATTATTGTTTTATTGTTAGTTCATTGGAATATATGTTCTGATCCTGTTTGCTCCTGTTGGGCTACTTGGTTTCAGAGTATAAATTTAATTAATTAATAAATCTTTACTCCTTTCATTCAGAAGAGTCATGGGCAGACAAAGGAAGTATTAGAACCTGCTCTATATGGACTGCCCCTAGATATGTATAGGACATTGTGAAATCAATTCCATCATGTTTCATGGATTGTCATGTACCTTTCGGTCCATCATCTGATCAATGATGGGATCAGATTTTGAGTAAACAGATTCATATGCATTTGCACAAATTTGCAGTTGTACAAATCTGCAAGTCTGAAAATTAGCAAATCACTGTTAAATATGCAAATCCCTCCCAAATGCAAATTTTCATTCTTTAGTCTGCAGGAGTAACATCATTTTGGTTGCTGTTTTTTAAAATAAAAATCCTTATTTTTCTACAACTAAATTTGTATAAAATTTACAAAAATTTAAAGAAGCTTGCAAATTAAAACCAAAGTTAAAACCAAATTTGTATAAAAATAGAGAAAGTTTTAAAAACTTTCCCAACTTGGCAAAAGCTGGTGGAATCTGCAGGCTGAATTCTTAGACATTTAAACTCCTGAGTGCATTGCAGTATCCAATATCCCTAACTGTTCCCCATCCCAAAAGAACAGTAGGAAGAAACATCAGGTGTTGATTTTTGCTCAAGTGGAATTGCTTCTGTTATGAGCTTTGCTTTTTTGAGCATATGGTTCTTGCTGTAACTGTTGTATTTTATAAATACTGTAAGCCGTTCTGAGAACTCTAGTCAAACAGTGATATACATCTATTAAGTAAATAAACTTTCTTGATTTCTGCAAATATACTTAGGCTCACTGCAACATTATATCTCATTCATGAGAGCTAAAAATCTGCCTTACCTTTTCACTGTGCGGAGCAACGTGGAGCGAGCCTCATTGTGAAAGGTGATGATGATGCTAGTTGCTGGAAGGTCAGCACCATAGTGCACAGATGCACACCTGTAACAGGTGAGAGAGAAGTTTGGGTCAGACAGAGCACAGGCTCTGAGGAATTCACTAATACAAATAAAACTCCCACATTTTCTGCCAGCTCACAAAATTTCATGCACATATTTGCTAAAAACTTGATCCCTGTGAATTTTGGAGCTCTACCAACACCTTTGCCAGACAGTTTCTTTTGTGTGTATGCAATTCATCCTATACTGGCAGTGCTGACAGCAGCATCCACTGAATTCTAGCTTCCAGGAAGACTAGTTAACTAGCATGTTGGTTTCAAAGAGAAAAAAGGATGATACTGGTCCAAACTCTTAGAACTAGCAACACGCTCTCCCTGTTGGGGCAGGGAGAGAAACAGGAGCAATCTATGGAATCAGCTGCTACTGTTGCTTCCTACACGGTCCAAGCTGTAGCTGATCAGAGGGAAGGCAGGAATATTCTCTGACTAGTAGCACCATCACACAGCAATGCAGGAGGCACAGAGCGGGCCCGTCGCCAGTCCCCTGCTCACCCAGTGCGGCTCTTTGCCGCCAACTCGCTGCTTGACTCTCACCAGAGCAGGGGTCCTTCCTTTGGTCACCACAGTGATGGCAGCCACTGACTACTTGCCAAACCACTTTGTTGCATGGACCACTGCCCATTCCTAACCTGTATCCCTATACTGAGCATGTACCCAAGCATTAGAAAATACAATATATTTTGCCTAGCTTACCGTACAATTTTCACATGCAGCTTTTGAACCTGTGCCAGAACTCCAACGTGCCATTTTTATGGAGAATGTGACACATCTTGTATTAGTCATGAAAATTGAATGTTACAGAAAATAAATATTTTGGAAATAGACTGTAATTATATCATGATATATTGTCATGACTGTAAGGCTGCACTTCTCACTATTCAGAAAGTAAACAGAGTGGGAGATCTGATTGAGAGAGAAAGCTTCTCTCAGGCCAAGATCCAAGAGATCCTACTCCACCAGAAACTCCTGCGCCAGCACTGTCCCCATTTCACCACCACCTCCAATGCCTAACAAAGTGCTTCCTATTCCAGGGAAATTATTTCTGAAGTAGAACAAATTCAAGATCCCCTTATCCCAGCATGGCCAACAGACACAAAACCAAGCGGATCTTTCTGATGGCAAGGAGAAGAGCCAGTTACCTGGGGGAGAGGGACAGGAGGAAGGGCTAGCCACCGGGAGTAAGTGACAGAGCATTGGGAGTTCAGATGAACCTCTCCACATGTTTAGTGAATGCAGGGAAGGATTCTCAGGGCTGTGTAGGCAAACCCTTCCCACTGATGGGAGCACATGCCACTCTCCACCTCCCCTGGACAGATGTAGACAGAGAACGAGCCAGTACTTGACAAGGGGCTCAGAATGGAAAGAGTCCCCTCTGGTGTTTGAGCTTGGTGTGTGTACATCCATCTGTATATGTGGAAAATTCACAAATGTCCAACAGTCAGAGGAGGTGGCACATGGTTCTGGCAGATGCCTGGACTATGTTGCAGGCCTGATTCAAAGTGAAAGTATTAACCTTCAAAGCTCTAAGCACCTGCAGGATCTTTTCCTTCCATATATACCTGCCTGGAGCCTAAGATAGTTTTGAGTGAGCCTTCTCTGGAAGCCACCACCAAAGGAAGTGGTGGTTGGCTAAAAAGAGGAGATCCTTTTCTGTTGTGGCACCCCAGTTGTGGAATGAATTTCCCAAGAGGGGTCTCTGTCATGCTCTTTTCGACACCATCTAAAGAACTTATTTTCCCAGGCATTTTAGTCTTTCACAGAATCATAGAATAGTAGAGTTGGAAGGGGCCTATAAGGTTGTCAGGTCCAACTTCCTGCTCAGTGTAGAACTGCAAGTGAAAGCATCCCGGATAGATGGCCGTCCAACTGCTTCTTGAATTCCAGTGTGAGAGTGCCCGTGACCTGCCGAGGTTCCATTGTCATACTCCTCTAATAGTCAGGCAATTTTTCCCGATATCTAGCCAAAATCTGGCTCCCTGTAACTTAAGCCCATTATTCCCTGTCTTGCACTCTGGGATGATTGAGAAAAGATCCTTGCCTTCTTCTTTGTGACAACCTTTCAAGTATTTGAAAAGTGCTCTCATATGTCCCCTCAATTTTCTCTTCTCAAGGCTAAGCATACCCAGTTCTTTCAATCTTCCCTCTTTGGGCTTTATTGCCAATCCCCTGATCATCTGTGATGTCCACCACTGAACTTTTTCCAGTTTGCCTGCATCTTTCTTGAAGTGTGGTGCCCTGAACTGGACACAGTACTCAAGATGGGGCCTAACTAGTGCCGAATGGAGAAGACCCAGTACCTTGTGAGATATGGAAGCTATACTTGTATTTCTATAGCCATGTCACATTGTTGACTCATATTCAGCCTGTGATCTGCAACAAATCCAAGATCTTTCTCATTTGCAGCATTGTTGAGCCAAGTATCTCCCAACTTCTAAGTATGCATTTGGTTTCCTTTTCCTAGGTGTAGAAAAGGGATTTCAGTTTCTGCTGTTTTAAATCTGTTATTGCATTTTAAATCTTGCACTGTTGCTGGTTTTTATTTTATTTATACTGTAATTTTAAAATTTTAAACATTTATATTGTATGCTATGGTTTCAATTCCTTGCAGCATCCAGAGAGCTCCAGCTATTGGGTAGTTTACAAATGTAATAAATAAATAAAAGCATGGCTGGTTTCATGTGTACAGTGTACTCCTGTTGTATCAACTTTCAATGAGCTCCAATCCATGGTTGGAGCAACATTCAATCCAATCCAGCCTAGGGACATAAGAGAATTTTATTTGTGTTAATAACCCAAACCACACAAATATGTCCTGTTTGCAATCCCAGGCAGAAGCAAGCTTTTCAAGAAATGCTTGCAAATTCCAAAATATAAAATTGCATTCAAAAACATTTTTAAATGTACTATTTTAAATGTACTATTTAATATGTTGTTTTTTGTTGTAAACTGTCCAGAAAGCTTTGGCTATGGGTGGTATAGAAATGAATAAATCAATATTATAATGTGCATCTCTCAAGAAACAGACATTTTCATGTTTCACTCAATGGAGGAAAATGCCCAATTTTGAAAACTATGCACAAAAATGTACACTTTTCCTATTTGAGTGAGCTGAAAAAAGAGGCTGAATGCAAAAATGGGAGCAAGCCAAAACAAGTATTAAAATTATTTTTAGTCAATTTGAACAAACTCAATAATTGCTACCTCTCCCCGGCATTCTCTAGCCAGACTCAACAAGACTTCCACAAGAGCTATTAGAAGTGCGGCTTCATCCCATTCCTTTCCCAGTGCTTGAACACCTGTCCATATGTCACCTGGAAAGGTGATATATTTAGCCTTTGGAGTGAGGCAACCTTAAACAGACTGCAGACAGTGACCGCAGCCAAGAAATTAAAAGACGCTTGCCCTTAGGAGGAAATCTAGACAGCATACCAAATAGCAGAGACATCACCCTGCCGACAAAAGTGCATATAGTCAAGACTATGGTTTTCCCAGTTGCAATGCATGGCTGTGAAAGCTGGACCATAAGGAAGGCTGAGTGCCAAAGAATTGAGGCCTTTGAATTGTGGTGCTGGCGGAGACTCCTGCAAGTCCCTTGGACAGCAAGGCGATCAAACCGGTCAGTCCTAGAGGAGATCAACCCTGACTGCTCTTTAGAAAGTCAGATCCTGAAGATGAAACTCAAACTTTGGCCACCTAATGAGAAGGAAGGACTCACTGGAGAAGAGCCTAATGCTGGGAACAACAGATGGCAAAAGAAGAAGGGGACGGCAGAGGATGAGGTAGCTAGATGGAGTCACTGAAGCAGTTGGTGTGAGCTTAAGTGGACTCTGGGGGATGGTGGAGGACAGGAAGGCCTGGAGGAATGTTGTCCATGGGGTCACGATGGGTCGGACACGACTTTGCAACTAGCAACAACAACAACAAACCTTAAACAGCTGTTTGGTTCCTGTACCTTCCACCACTATGGCTTGGTTAAAGATCCCAGGATAAGGGAGGCAGAGAAGTTTCCTCTGAAAACTGGGACTGAAAGTTTTCCTGCCAAAATGAATCACCTTTCTACAAAGGTCTTCATTTTTTTTTAAAGGAAGAGGTGTGAGCCCTGCTCATTCCTTTCAGCTCCTTTGCTATTTACAAAAAAGAGAACTTCTCTATAAACTAGTACAAATATTAAAAGAACAAAAGAAACCAAGGAGTAAATCCCATGTCTTTCACTCCCTTTTTTACTTCCAGTGGTTCAGAACTTAGTTCATCTAGAACAGCAGGCAACTTTCAAAGAATGGCTCCCTGTCTTCTTCTTCAAGACTCCCTTTTAACTACTTTTCCTTGATTCTGTCCCAGATGTTATCATGCCCTCCGGTTGCCTCCGAGCAACCAGCATTATCTCTGCACTCCAGACAAAACGATTTATGTTTACTTTCCAAACCAGTCCAAGGTCTTCTTGCTGCTTCTCCAGCTCCTGGCTTTTCTAGCATGCTGCCTTGGCAATACATAGACCAACTGATTCCTCCTCTCCCCTGTGAGTGCCTGGAGAAAGTCCTGTAACCCTTCCATCCCTGGCATGTACATGTGTGAATGTGCGCACACTGGAATTTCACCATAACCAAAAGGCAAAAGTGCTGAGCTAACCTCTGTCTTATAGAATAGTCTTGCTTCCCAGCTCTGCACAAGACAGAACAGAGAGGTGGTGTTTTTGGGAGGTGGGTGAAATCTAGCCGTCCTAAGTGCTTCTTAAAAACCCATGGGAAATTTGGCAGGCCTGTTTCCTGCTGAATTTGCCTGCTTGTAGGCGACAGTTTGGGGATCTCCAGAGACATCCCCTTCTGCAGTGCCTGACTCTGAGGAAGGACTGGTCTGAGCCAGGTATTTGGCCCTGACGGCCTCTTCAGGCAGCAGTGGCAGCAATGGGGTGGAGAGCTTAGATGGTGGACGCAGCAGGCAATGGAGCGATGCAGAGGAAGCAGGGAGGGTAAAGGAGATCCGGGAC